CTGATAATGTTGCGACTTTATTCTCATATTAGGACTTTATTCCGATAATGTTGCAACTTTATTCTCATATCAGGACTTTATTCCGATAGTGTTGGGACTTTATTCTCATATTAGGAATTTATTCTCATATTAGGACTTTATTTCGATATTGTTGCGACTTTTTTCTCATATTAGGACTTTATTACGATAATGTTGCGACTTTATTCTCAAATTAGGACTTTATTCTCATATAGGACTTTATTCTGATAATGTTGCGACTTCATTCTGATATTAGGACTTTATTCCGATAATGTTGCGACTTTATTCTCATATTAGGACTTTATTCTGGTAGTGTTGCGACTTTATTCTTATATTAGGACTTTATTCTGATAGTGTTGAGACTTTATTCTCATATAAGGACTTTATTCTGATAGTGTTGCGATTTTATTCTCATATTAGGACTTTATTCTGTTAAATGTTTTATAGTTTTCTCGTATTTAAAAAAACAAATAGCCTGGCCCGAATACTCGCAGAAACTCGTAGTTTCCAGATGACAATGACTTGTTTATTCTCATTTTATGTCATTATTCTTCTAATTTTGCAAATTCATTCTCATAATATCAGGCCTTTATTTTGATAATGTTTTATAGTTTTCTCGTATTAAAAAAAATAAATAAATCTCTAGCCTGGCCCGAATACTTGCAGAAACTCGTAGTTTCCAGTTGACAATGACTTCAGAACTTAGATGTTTGTATGTTTCCTGTTTTCAGCTATGGATACCCAGATCCGGATTACCTCAACCGAGTCAGAGAAGAACTGAAAACCAAAGGAATCAAATAAGCGTCTTTTCAAGACCTCTAAATAAATGAGAGCAAAGCTAAGAGTTAACATGTAGTTATAGGAGTTTCAGCTCATTTACTACAATCATTGTTTGATCACATCTTGGCATTATGGTTCCTGTTTAATTCAGTGTAATTTTGTGTCTTTTTGGAGTCACCTTTGCTGATTAAGTTATGTATGTTTGTCATAAACTGTATGTTCATGTAAGTTTACATCAATAAATGAAATGTAATCAGTAGGCAGTCTGAAAACGCCTGGAGAAAAACATTTTTCACATTAGTCTGTTTAAACTTTAGCAATAAGAGAAACAGAAATGTTAGATGAGCGTCCCTGCAGCTCGATTAGATTAGTTATGATTTTTATCATAAACCTCCAACCTTCTCTGCTAATCCTGAAGAGCATTAAATATTAATCAACTTTAATCATTCATAGAAAATGAATGAAGGCCAGTTGAGAAACGACATAATAGAACCACTTTGGTCTGAACAGTTTTTAACTGTCAGAATGTGATTGAAAAAGCGAAGAGCATTTTTAAACACAACATGTCCCTGTTTATAAATGATACGTTGAAGGACCAATGATGCTCCACTGTGAGCATAGCATTCCTTTCATCTTCTTCCTCATTTAGATCTAAAAACTGTACAGGTGTGTTGCTGTTGATCTTTGCTTTGGTTCAAACCCGGAGCCCTCCATTATTCACCATCTGCCTGCTGTCTCCCGGTCCAGCTGCTGGTCCTTCTGATAGTTGCCTCATCAGGAACCAGGAGGCAGCCATTGTTGTCATAGTGAAACGTCACTATGATAAAAAACATACAAATATTAAACAAACATACCCACTCAAATCACTAATTATTTCAGTTTTTTTCATTTTTTTTTCAAAAAGTCATTCAGTTGAGAGCATGCAGTGTTCATGTTTTGTTTACAATACATCCCATCTTTACCCAGTAAATGTAAGAACATCAGAAATTAGATATAGATGTTCAGCTCCTTGTTTCATGACAAATATTGTCAAAACGTATTTGAATAAATTATATATAGCCCTATATATATATATATATATATATATATATATATATATAGGGCTGCAACTAACAATTATTTTCCAAATCGATTAATCTGTTTATTATTTTGTTGATTAATCAATCAATTAATTAATCGATTAATCAATTAATAATTGGATAGTATAGGGTTCCTAAAAGAAGATTTTTTTAACGAAATTAAACCAGGTAAAAAACTTTTGAGTTATTCAGAATAGAGCATATTAAAATTTGTTTAATCTTAAATAAAAATGTTTTATAATTTTGGTATAATTCCTGCTCCAAGTGGGTCGTTCAGTCAGCTAAGGGCAAATTTTAGAGTCTCTAAACTCCAGCTCATGATTCATTGATTACTAAATTAGTTGACTATTATTTCACTAATGGATTAATCAGATTGTGTCAGATAGATAGATTTTGGAGATTCTTCCTCCCAAATGAAGGTTTATTAGCAAAGCCTAAATTGTTCAGGTTTATCAGAGGCTCTGAGATACAAATGTTAAAATAAACCTTTTCTACTGTGAAGCATGAGTCCAAACTATTTAAAATCAATGCATCTCATCAAGAATCGTTTGTTTGTTATATTGGCTGAACAATTATGTAAAAAGCACTTTAATAAAACCATTTAATTCAAAGTCCTGCTGTGATTTGGATTATTTTTCATTTAGATCCGGCCATCTGATGGGACTCCTAAACTGTTTATATAATAGTTGATCTATACCATACCTATACTACTTGTCAGAGGGGGGTGGGGGGTTGAATCTCCTCTCCTTGGTGGAAAATTTTCTGAATTTTAGCCATGAATTTCCTTTACTATAGAAATGCTTTCAGTTCTCCAACCTGCTGATCAACACAATGGGTGAGGTGATTTAAAACCAGAACCAGGAAGTTATTTGTAGTAAAAAGGTTCTGCAAAGGAGCCCAGCTAAACCCAACAGTCCCTGAAGGTTCTTCATTTAACATTTGAGTTTCTGACAATAAACTAGGGCTGAACCATGTTGCCAAGAACCTGACTTTTATTTAGATTTCCCTTTGCATGAACCCCTGAGCTTGTAGATGCTTCATTGATTAAAAATCAGAACCTCTGCAATTTGAAAATTGTGTTTTGTTAAATAGTTGCCAGAGGATTTTCTCCAAACACAAAATCCCAAACCAAACAAGACCCTTAGACAGAGACTGGTGCTTCCTAAAGACAACCCCCCCAACCTAATCTGAGCCGAGTGGTGTCTGCAGTTCAATGCAGCGAGGAATGCTGTGATCTTTGTATTGGAGAAACCAAACAACCTCTCCACAGATGCATGGCTCAACTCAGATGGAAGAGCAACCTGCGGTAAGTTCTAGATGTACTCTGCAGTACATCTACACCTTATGAACAAAGGACAATCTTTTCAGGACCAGAAAGTTCACCTTTTGGACAGAGATGATAGGTGGGAAGGAAGCCATCTATGTTCAGAAAAACCAACCCCAAACCAACTCATATAGGAATGAGTAACTCTAATTTAATGCTCTTAGAAATAATTCCCGGCATGGACATCCAGGTGGACCCTTAGGCAAGGTCCTTAGTACTTAGTGGCCCACCTAGTGAAACCGCAAATACAAGAGCCATACCGGCCCTGACGTCGCCCGGGTTAACAAGGTCTGCGTCAGTTGCTAGGGAACCAGGGCAACTTGATGACAAATTGGCTACTGGAACAAGAAATAGATGGACTAGAGCAGAAAACTTGTAACTGATGAAATGCTACTATACAAGCGGCCCCAGTGAGAGAGGTTACATGCAGAGACTCCAGTAGTAATTGGAGCACTGGGGGCTGTGACCCCCAAACTGGGAGAGTGGCTACAGCAGATTCCAGGTAAAACATCAGAGGTCTCTGTCCAGAAGAGCGCAGTCCTAGGAACAGCTAAGATCCTGCGCAGAACCCTCAAACTCCCAGGCCTGTGGTAGAGGACCCGAGCTTGAGGATGACACATACCACCCCACGAGGGGTGAGGAAACAGTTTTATTTTTATTGTTTTAGCGTTAAAATCTTTCATAATCTTTACCGTCGACAGGCTGCAGCGATGTCCCCAATTCCTCATTTTCCAGACACTTGTTGAAATTTGCTCCCCCCCCATTCTCTAGTTTTTTTCTCCGCTTTGAGCTTCTTTTCCGAAGCAGTTCCGTGCAAACACGTGGAACCAGTTATATCTGACAACATTGTTTTTATAAAAGTTTTTTCTTTTTTAAATAAGCATATTAAATGCCACTTTAATCACATTTAATGAATTCTAATGCAATTATGGCCTTAATTTAAAAAAAAAAATTATTTAATGACCTGCGGAAACCCTGCAACCTTAAACAGAGGGGTGGACTCAGCTTTCAAAAACCCACAATGCATTGCTAGAGTTGATCCTTTCTTGCTATAATTCAAACCCTAAACCCCTTTACAGGAGAACAGAAGACCTCGTCTGTTCAGCCAGGCAAACAATTCCCTTTAATAACCCCCCTTTCAGAGACATAGACAGGTATGGAGCATTGCAGGGTAACGAAGAAGCCAAACGACCCCCATTCCAAATGGATGGAGCCGTTCTTCTGGTTCAATCTGCATGTTGTCTAAGCAAAAACAAGGCTTTGTTTGGGGATACTGTATGAAGTTTGGAAATCAACGCTATTTCTGACATTAGAGAAAGTCTTAAAACTTGGAAACAAATTCCAGTTTATTGTTTTTTTAAAGTTTTTGGGATGTTTTGTTAAATTGCGATTATATTGCAAATGGAATTAATTGCCCAGCTCTACAATAAACAGTCATTAAATATCGAAGCAAATGTAGCTGTTGGACCGTCTGAGACGGTGCTACATGAATCCTATGGTGGAAACTGCTTTGTTTATGGGACGCTTTATGATCACAGCCAGTGCACCTGTCCAGATCTACAGCCATGTTGGCTGAACCAGATCCAGTCGGTAGACCCAGTTAGCCCAGGATGCATCTTCTAGCTGCAGACTATCTGCGCCGAACCTTTTCCAAAGACCTTTCACCTTGTTTGAGATTCTAATACCAAATTTCTCACGTAAGAAAAGGCTCTTCGTTATTCTGGACTTCTTGTGTGGAGCAGTTCCTCTGAACCAGGAACCAGCTTAGTAACGCAGCGACACAAGGACAGAACACAGAGTCTGGATCATCAGCCTTGTTGATATGACACCAGAGAAAACATGAACTTTGCATACAGTTTGTCATAATTTGGTCTCGCTCTAACACGGGTTAGTCCGTACGCCGCAGCGCTGGTCCCTGCACTCAGAAAAAACGGTTTTGTTCACAGAAAACAAAATCTACTAATCAGTCAGCGTCTTAATTCTACTTCCTGGAGGAGCTCAGATGTTTAGCAAACTGGGACCTGATGGGTCCATGAGAACCAGTTCGTCCCAGCGGAAGCCCCCGGGTCTCATTTAGTGAAGGCCGCCACCACGGCCCATAACATCTCATTAGTGTTGGTCTTCATACTCTCAACCTCAGGCTCCAGCTCCAGCAGCTGCCGCACTCTCTTCATCGCCAGGTCGTACTGGTCGTCTATTAGTGGGGCGAAGGCGTTCTCCAGAACGTCGGACGAATGGGCTAAGAAGATGAGGGCGAGCAGCCGCTTGTCCATCCGATGGGGGTCGTTCACCCACTTCTCCAGAACGGCTTCCTGGACCTTCTTGATGAGGCGTTGCTTGATGTTGCTGTTGGTCAGGGGATGAGTGGTCATGTCAAACAACAGGAAGTTCTGCTTCTCTGTGGTCAGGACGCCTTTCTCCACCAGGTTCTTGGCCAGACGCTCACGGACGTTCCTCAGCTGGTAGTGGAGCTTCAACGGGTTCCACGTCTCTCCTGCAGAGGAGAGTTATGACAGAAAATGAGACATAAGGGGGAAAACAACAACAAAGGTGTTTGGATTTTTTTATGTTTTATACAGGAATGAGCAACTTTAATTTAATGCTTTTTAATGCACTTAGAAATAATTTTCCTATTCTCTCGATTCTTCTCTGCCTCAAGCTTCTTTTCTGAACATACGGCTTTAAGATCAACTTGAATCAGTTCCGAGCAAATAAATTATGACATAATATATCTGACGAAACGTTCTTTATGCGTCGCGTACATAGAGCATAACACTGTATCGGTGCGCGTCTTGTTTTAAAGGTACACAATGCAACCGGTGTTGATTTTCCAGTGAGGCTCCCTCCAGAGGGCGAAAGTAAAAGTGCACTGTCGTAAATTTGCTCAGCTGTTCTCCTGGTTTCTCCGTCAAGCCAGGCGCGGTTGTTTTGAGCTTAGCAGCGAATGACTAATGCTGCGTTCACACTGGACGTAGCTGGCGCGACAGAAGCAGCGAGTTTACATGCAAAGTCAATGGTTGACGCGCGTCAAGGCGCAGCAAAAGGTCCAGCGGCGCGTTTTGAGCACCAGGCGCAGCACGTCTGAGCAGCTGAAGCAGCGCGTCGGGTGCGTTTAACGCAGGGAGAGAGACACAGCGCTGATGATCACTGCTCTTAAACAGTTTATTGACGCCTAAATTAACTTAAAATGCAGAAATCTGCCGGCAGAATATGCAGTTTGGATTATTTAGATGAAAAACACCTACCAGCTGCCGCGGTGAACCGCTGCTGATGAAGGGATCCATACTGTCGGCGCCCCGCTGGTATGTGGGGGTCTGAGCGGCTCCGACAGAAAAAATATTGAAGGCAGGATAATAATCTGAATGAACTGACGGCACTGATTACGTTTTCAGGTGTATTTTCTCACTTAAACACATATTAAAACTACTTTATTCCCACTGATCACAGCAAATATAGCTGCAAGGCAGAGAAAGGATAGTGAAGCTCCGCCCAATGCGCCTCAGACACACTTTTGCACCGCACAGCCAGAGCAGCAAAGCTGCTTTAGCCGAGTCAGAACTAACTGGTACAAGCAGCAAAAATGAAGCAGCAGACGCGATTTTGCTGCTTTTGCTGCGTGAACGTAGCATAACTGCACAAAGATTGCCACTGTGCTAGCAACGAGAATGCTTTTAACTGGGGGCGTGTAGCAGTTCTCGCCGTAAAGCAAGACTGACTCTCACGAGACTTCTGAGCCTGTGGGTGCGGGTCGGTGCTCCTGCAGTTGCAAGTGCGGTATTTCCCCCACAGACCACCAGGGCGGCCGAGAAAACCTTTGTTCAACCTGAAATGAATCATTTAATCATCCATAACGTTATGGAACACATTAATTAACTGAAAAATGTTGCATAGTGTCCCTTTAAGACCTTCACGTGAACAAATACAGGAGTTGTTTCTAAAGGACTGACGCACTAAACTGTGTTTAAAAATAATATCTGTCAACGAGACAGATAAAAAAAAAAAAACTATTCTTTGGCCGTTTATTATCAAAATGATAAAGGATTATGGAGCAGCCTCAAGACAAAGGGAGCATTTTTGTTTTAATTTTCTCAGTTTGTCATCCTGTTTTTCTTAAGTTATTAATTATCTCATCAGAACTAAATTTAATTTCAAATTGTTTTACTGTAGTTTTAAAATATATTTAGTCCTAGTCCACAAGAATCCTCATTCACATTTTTATGTTATGATATATGTTCACATTATGTATTAGCTGTATCTAAAAAATTTCAATTTAAAAGTAGATATGAAATAATACAATATATCCAACAATAACTTAAATTATATAATTGTACTGGGTCATCGAATTGATTCAGTTTAGTCTGTCAAATAAGCTGCTTGTACTATGAAGGTAGATTTGTTTCTTTATTATTCAATAAAAAAAAGGTTGCTTCAATCAAAAAATATATTTTCAATTAGAAAAATCTTCACTTCAATGAAAAAAAACTTTTCAATCAAAGAAAAAAAAGTATTTGAATGCAAAATATATTCGCCCACTGCGGAACGTTTGTGTCAAAATTATTCAATCAAAAAAAAATTGAACTTCAAAACTTTTTGCACTTCAAAAAAAAATTTGATTTAAATAAAACAGTTTTAACTTCAATTTTTTTTCACTTAAAAAAAAAAACAAAAAAAAATCTATTAGGGTAATTTATTTATTTTTATTTTTTTGTTTTTTCTTGGATTAATTTTTTTTTCTTTTTTGTGACTGAAACAACTTTTTGGGAATTGAATGACTAAGACACAAATGTCCTACCCATGTATCGCCCAAACACTAAATAGATCCCTTCAACCAAGAGAACATTTTCAACAATAAAAAAAAGTGTTCAAATGCAATTTTTTGAGTCTCAAATATTTTATTTAAATTCAAAAACTATTTTCTATGATTGAAAACGTTTATCTTTTCATTGAACTTACTTTTTTCCTTGATTCTGTTGTTTGTTTGTTTGAAGCAACTTCTTTTTTGATTGAATAATAAAGACACAAATGTCCTACCCATGATATGGTCCAATCAAAAAACATTGTTACTTCAATTAAAAAAGTTGCTTTAAACAAAAAAGACTGCACTTCTATCAAATAAAACATTTTCAATCAAAGAAAAGCAGTCTTCAAATGTATTTTTTTGAGTCTGAAATATTTTTCTGCATTCAAATACTTTTTTTCTTTGATTGAAAAGTTTTTTTTTTTCATTGAAGTGAATAATTTTTTAATTGAAAATATATTTTTTGATTTAAGCAACTTTTTTTTTGATTGAATAATAAAGAAACAAATCTATCTTCATACTTGTAGTGTCTTCAAATGTCCAGCAGGTGTCAGTATTCAGTGAGACAGTATCAACAGGACCAATATGCACTCACCAGCCACTTTATTAGGTACACCTGTCCAACTGCTCGTTAACACTTAATTTCTAAGCAGCCAATCACATGGCGGCAACTCAGTGCATTTAGGCATGTAGACATGGTCAAGACAATCTCCTGCAGTTCAAAGCGAGCATCAGTATGGGGAAGAAAGGTGATTTGAGTGACTTTGAACGTGGCATGATTGTTGGTGCCAGAAGGGCTGGTCTGAGTATTTCAGAAACTGCTGATCTACTGGGATTTTCACGCACAACCATCTCTAGGGTTTACAGAGAATGGTCCGAAAAAGAAAAAACATCCAGTGAGCGGCAGTTCTGTGGGCGGAAATGCCTTGTTGATGCCAGAGGTCAGAGGAGAATGGCCAGACTGGTTGGAGCTGATAGAAGGGCAACAGTGGCTCAAATAACCACGCGTTACAACCAAGGTGGGCAGAAGAGCATCTCTGAACGCACAGTACGTGGAACTTTGAGGCAGATGGGCTACAGCAGCAGAAGACCACACCGGGTGCCACTCCTTTCAGCTAAGAACAGGAAACTGAGGCTACAATTTGCACAAGCTCATCGTAATTGGACAATAGAAGATTGGAAAAACGTTGCCTGGTCTGACGAGTCTCGATTTCTGCTGCGACATTCGGATGGTAGGGTCAGAATTTGGCGTCTACAACATGAAAGCATGGCTCCATCCTGCCTTGTATCAACGGTTCAGGCTGGTGGTGGTGGTGTCATGGTGTGGGGAATATTTTCTTGGCACCCTTTGGGCCCCTTGGTACCAATTGAGCATTGTTGCAACGCCAAAGCCTACCTGGGTATTGTTACTGACCATGTCCATCCCTTTATGACCACAATGTACCCAACTTCTGATGGCTACTTTCAGCAGGATAATGCGCCATGTCATAAAGCTGGGATCATCTCAGACTGGTTTCTTGAACATGACAATGAGGTCACTGTACTCAAATGGCCTCCACAGTCACCAGATCTCAATCCAATAGAGCATCTTTGGGATGTGGTGGAACGGGAGATTCGCATCATGGATGTGCAGCCGACAAATCTGCGGCAACTGTGTGATGCCATCATGTCAATATGGACCAAACTCCCTGAGGATTGCTTCCAGCACCTTGTTGAATCTATGCCACGAAGAATTGAGGCAGTTCTGAAGGCAAAAGGGGGTCCAACCCGTTACTAGCATGGGGTACCTAATAAAGTGGCCGGTGAGTGTACCATAGTCATCCAAAAAAAGCTAAAAAACAATCCACTGGACTTTGTTTCCAAGTTTGCGGTTTTATAAAGTAGCCAAACACAAAAACAAGGCTTTGTTGGGCTACTGTATAAAACCTGGAACTCGACATTATTTCTGACATTTTGAAATGAAAAAGCTTCATGGAAAAGAAGAGAAACGTCTTCAAACTTGGAAACAAAAGTGGGGGTCAGCGCGTCTCCGACAGAAAAAAAAGAACTGAAGGCAGGATGGTAATCTAGATGAACTGACTGCGCAGATTAAATTTTTTTAGCTGGACCTTCTCACTTAAAAATATATTAAAACTATTTTTTACCCACTGATCTCAGCAAATATAGCAAAGCCGCACTTTACTGGACGCGCTTAACCTTTTATAGGAAAGTTAGATACTATTATTTTATTATTAAAATAATCAATTAATTTTGATGGCAAAAATTAATGTCAATGTAATAACAAGAAACGCCAACTTGCCCGAATATATTAGGAAAATAACAAAAGTGCTTCTATGAGAAATTCATGAAAAACACTCTGAGACTAATACCTCATTTACACTACCCTTGAAAAACCGATCCATGCCGAGACCGCTCCGAGCTCGGTTCTGACGACCGTTTACACATCACGCTATCTCGGTTCCTCGACTCCTAGTGACGATCTGCCGTATTATTGCCAGTATTGAAGGAGTAAGAAGACGAAGAAGGAGGGAATCAAGCACATATAAATGGTGGCGCCCGTCACATTCAGAAAGTTATGCTTGATTATTATTGCTGTACTTCGGTGTTTGCGGAGGGTCAGGCGAAGACGGCAACCTTTCGTGGATGTTTATAGCTGTTCTTCTTCTTCTGTTTTGTGTTGGTTGGCAAGCAACTTCTGGAGGGGCATTACCGCCAACTACTGGAATGGAGTGGGAATCGCGATGTGCAGCCAGACGGAGATGACGCGTTCTGCTCATGCGCTCTTGTTATCAGAGAACGGATCCAGGGAAAAACCGAGCCGAGCCCACCTCTGGAACTAGTCTGCAGTTAGCTCGGTTCAGTTCAGTTTGCTTTCCATTTACACACTATAAGTTATCTCAGTTACTGAGCTCGGACCAGTCTCGGCACGTTTTTTTCAAGGGTAGTGTAAACTGGGTATATGAGAAACACATTTTCTTTGGTACAACATAACCTTTAAGGCATTAATGCTGATACCGGCTCTTACTTTTAACTTTACTTTTTAACTTTTCAATTAACTTTTTACCTTTTTTACTTAATTTACAGTAGGTAAAATATCATTCAATGGCTCATCTAATTGGTCAAAAGCCAAAATAAGATGTACAGCCAAGTAGCAGTATCTTTGTAACCCGACTCCGCCAGATGGATTTGCTCTGCATATCCATCTGGAAACCTTCCGTTGAAGTAATTTTGGGAAGGGGCGAAAATACTGGTTAGCTGATTGACCTACGTTGGTGATAGACGGGCCAAATAAATCAATCAGATCAACGAAGCATATGACGTACTAACAGAGCGACGACAAAGAGGAGCCAATTGATAGATCAAACTCTTGGTGAAACCAGTCGGGAGAAGAGCAAAAACATCTTTTCCTCTGAGAAAAGCCTCCAGAGCAGTGTTTTCCTTTTCTTTCAGTGAAAAAATACTCTGTAATTCCGACAAAACTTGCTCGATAGCCACGCTAACGCTAGTTTCATCGGCTGAAGCCGCCATGTTCTTTAGACTGAACTGTCGCGCTTCTCGTTGCGTCACACCTCAACCCGCCTAAAAGCCAACGCTGATTGGACGTTCGTTTGGTGAACGGCTCCAAATTTTCTTCAACGGAGAGTCTCCAGACTGATCTGCGAGTCAAACCCTGAAAGCTCGCAAGATCAGGATGGTCTCACGAGGCTAGAATCTTTGCTGAATGGCTGGATATAGATCTTGTGCTTCTAGAGCTCACCGAGGGACGGGGCGAAAAGTCCTTTTGCAAGGGGTATGCAAGTGATAAAAAAATGGTCCCATAAAGGGTTAAGGAGGTTAAGATGCTCTTAAGGTGCGTCTGACCTTAATGTGTAAAAGCATCAACAATGAAGCACCAGGTGCTTTGTTGATGCTCAACACACAGTGTGAGCGTAGCTTTGGACTTTCTGATTGTTTGAATTTACCTATGAAACATAATATTGTAGCTAAAAATGATCTCATGTCTTCCTTGTGAAATTTCCACTTCTAGACAATCGCACATACTTCCCATAATCAGGACAAAAGTAGTGTTGGAACGTAGACAAAAAGTTAGCTGCATTCAACCTCAAAAAGCAGAAAACAGCATTTCAGAGAGTCTACATTTTACATTTTCCTCACTAAATACATAAATATTCCTTACTAAAAATAAATATTCCTTACTAAAAGCCTGCTTGATCTACGTGAGGAGAAAAGAAGTTTGAAGATGGGTGAACCCACCACTGAGCAGTTCTATCCAGCTCTGCACCGTCTCTGGGGTCGGGGTCTCCTTGATGTGCTTCAGAGCCTCATCCAGAAGAACATCACCTGTCGGAGCGTCGGAGCGGCAAAGAACCTGGGAATTTAAACCAGAACACAAACAGGAGGTCAAAGGAGGAAGAAACAGACCCAAGTTTCCCCACAGACCAGTGGCTTCTACCTTTCTGGCCAGCAGACTTTTCCTCCTGACGCCACACGGCTCCAGCTGAAGGCGTCCTCTTAGGCCCAGTTCGATCAGCATGCACCCCCGCAGGCCCGACGATATGCAGTCGTTCCAGAACGACGTGTAGCCCTGCGCCGTGGAAACAGAGCCACAGTCCAGGTGTGAGGACATTACAACAGGAAGTGCGGACTTTAACCTGGACCACTGACGGCCCAGAGGCAGCTAAGAACCGGATCTTTTTGCCGCAGTAGAGCCAGAGGATGATGGTGATCTCATCCTGAACGCCTTGTGGGTTCATTGTTTGGTCCACTTCCTGTTTATTCAGTAAAGATCCTCAGCGCATGAAGGCAGTTTAACCTGAGAAATCTTTTTGCTCTGCAAACATACTGTCTGTTTTACACAAACGGCGCCTGGAAGCGTCACGCTGACCCTGATCGGCTGACCTCCGGTCCAACCAGCAGCTCTGGGATTCAAGTGGGAAACCTTTATGGATTGGGAGGGGGGACCTGAGTCGCCACTATACCGACCTGCTCTGAGACGGATGATTCATAAAGATTCACACGGTCGGACACTCTAAACAGCTGAGCCCACTTTTATTCTCCTCCAGTCTTTGACTGTTTCATGATTATTCTAAAAAATGGAGTCCAAATGATCCAAGGTTGGATGAAGTTCCCTATAAGCCCACCTCTTGCTACTGAAGGTTCTGACCATGCAGAGAACTGAGGCAGGGATCATGGTTCTGTCAGACCTTTAGAATCACAGGATCATCATCAAACATAATCCTGGATGATTTAAAATCTTCACTTTGTGTTTTCTGTGCAGAAACAGACTTGCATAGAGTAGAGATTATACGTAGCAGCAGCATAACGCTTCACTATAGTCCCAGTTAGGTCTGTATTTGGGTTTTAGGCACAAGTTAATTGATCTCATATTGGCTGCTCAGTGGCACTAGTGCCTTTCCGCAAGAAGGTTCTGGGTTCGATTCCCAGCCCGGGGTCTTTCTGCATGGAGTTTGCATGTTCTCCCTGAGCATGCGTGGGTTCTCCCTGGGTACTCAAGCTTCCTCCCGCAGTCTAAAAACATGACTGTTAGGTTAATTAGCTTCTCTAAATTCTCCTTAGGTGTGAGTGTGAATGGTTGTTTGTCTCTGTGTTTCCCTGTGATGGACTGGAGATCTGTCCAGGGAGGACCTCGCCTCTCATCTGTAGACAGCTGGAGATATGCACCAGCACTAGGGGTGTAAATAATAATCGTTTTGTATCGATGCATCGATACGTCCTCAAGAGAATCGATTCATGTTTTTTTTTTCCTCCGGTCTATTTTTATCCATTTGCTCCTGGGCGTAATTCTCCCTCCCGTGCTGCGGTGGCGCTAAACCTATTTTGCCCTCCTACCTCGCTTCCTGGTTATACTCTTACAGCAGTGTGTTGTAGTGAGCTTGACACAGACATTTTTAAATTATGCTCAGTATTGAAGTGTGGTCTGAGCTACACACTGTGGGTCTAGATACGGCCGAGGCGGTGAGGAAGTGGGGGCGAGTTTAGTCCGACGACGGAGGGACATGAGGGCCAAAAAGAGCGGAGATCCAGCTGGAAAAAGGGTCCCAGCGTTCTCGTGCACCTCGCTCTTCTAGCGGGTCAAACTTCACGAGTTGTTTTCCGCAATTTCGGTCATAAAAACAAAACAAGCCGGCCTCCTGTCTGCAGCACTGTTTGCGGTCAGCTACAATCTGGGAGAGGTGCAGCGGAGCGTCTCTCAAGGGGGCGGTGACGTCGTCACTCTGGAGCCTTCTTCTTCTTCTTTTTTTTAATGGCGGTTGGCAAACAACTTATAGGTGCATTACCGCCACCTTCCAGAATGGAGTATGGACCATACAAACTATTATATTCTCCCTAAAATACCCGTTCTTCTTAGAAAAATAAAAATACTCCCAAAAACTACATCCCCAGATGACCTTTGAAACAATTCCCTTATATCTAGTTTATTTTTATTCCTGTCTAACTCTCTACGCAACATCTCTCTTTCCTGAGTATATTTATTACATTCTAAAAAAATATGTTGGACAGTTTCTCTGGAGCCGAGGTATTGCATTGAACTCATTCCACTGATATTGTGCAGTATTTTTGCAGTATTTTTTGATGCAACTTTTCTACTTCTGTTATTTGCTGTTGTTTCTAAAGAAAATGCATAATGATATTACAGCTTTCATTGATTTAGTTCAAACTTGAAACTTTGTTTAGCCTGTAAGGTGTAAAAAAATAATAATAATAAAAAAAATTTTTAACCGATTAATCGATTAATCGAATCGAGGTGTATTCTTGAGTATCGAAAATAATCGAATCGTTGGGTCAGGAAATCGATACTGAATCGAATCGCCATGATGGATGTGATTTACACCCCTAACCAGCACCCCTCGCCACCCCAGCAGGGCTGAGCGTGACAGAAAATAGGTGGATGGATAAGTTGTTTTAAATATAAATAAATATAAACTTTGTTTTCCCTTCCTAACTTCCTGTTTGTTTCAAGGTTGAATTTACTGACTGTTTCCAAAGTTTCTAAATGTCAGAACCATGGATCCTGACTGATGTCAACTCCCAGGATTACACAGCAGACCTTTGCTTAACCGACTACGTTCTCCAAGATGTTCTTAGAGCAAACTTTAATTCAGAGCTGACTGGACCTTTGTAGTTTCTGTCCTTAAACCTCGTAGCAGTTTGAGACACTCTGTTGATCTTTATTTCATTGCATTCAAGTCTAACAGAGCATCAATTTCTGTTCAAGCTGAGAGTTTTATGCATTTTATTTGAACTTTAACTGTTTTTGTTGCCTTGATCATTTCCTTGTCTAATCTGTTCATTTGCACAATTGTTTTTCTGTCAAATATAAACTAATATATATAGTTGACTGATGGTATCAGTTAATAAACTAACTTTGGGTCTTTGGACTGAGGAACTAAAGCACTGTCAGTGCGATCAAACAGCCAACTCTAAACATTTTCAATTTCCACTGAACATTATCACTTTTCAGCAAACCTTTGCGTAAAAAAAAACAGATCAAAACCTTTAGAAATCCGACTGTCAATGTTTAAAAGCCTATATTTGTTAGTTAAGTGCAGCAGCTGAGAAAGCTTCCAGAAATATTTGAAGTTAAGCTGGATTAACCCTTGAAGCCTGAATTGATGTACATATAAAAATACATTTTGTGCTGTTTTCCCTTAAATGAGATGACAAATTAAAATAATGTTACTAAATAAATAGAAATGAAGGTAAAGTATATTTTCTAACAGCTGTTATAACTACATAATAATATACTGTGAACGGTATGGTGGCTGTTTGCCTACACTGCAAAAATGTTCTAAAAATAAGTAAAAATGTCTTAAAATAAGTGTATTTACCCTTAATATGAGTAGGAAAATAAGATGATCGGCCAATGCCCTTAAATTAAGATAATTCGATATTTTGCACTTGAAATAAGAGACTGCATTTGTTGTTGCTTTTTTCTTATTTTAAATGTAAATTGTCTTGTTCCAATGGCTAAGTGTCTCACTTACCAACTTAATTTAAGAAAAAAATGCACTTTTTAAAAGAAAAATTGACTTACTTAGATTTACTTTTTTGCAGTGTAAGACGAGCGGTTTGTTGCTTATTAGTTTAAGTTATGAACATATTTTTTTCATTTTATTTCAGAAAACTGCATTTAATTCTGTCATTTAATTACTCTGTGACTCCATAATCTGTCCTGTAAGGTTTATTAAACCTTAAACGCAGGATTAAATGTAATTATCAGGCGCAAATGCGTCACATTTCCAGCTGATTAGCAACTCCTGATGTAAACAAACCACATCTGAGGTCTGCAGGCAGAAGGCCTGATGCTGCTTCTGTTAGCTTCAGTTAGCATAGCGCGCTAGCTAGCAGCTCAGATAACGGGAACCAGAGCAGCTGGAGCTCCGCTTCGTTCCGCCCCGGCTCACCTCTCGGTCCTTCAGGCCCAACAGCAGCACCTCCTCCATTAAGGTGAGCCGCGTTTCTTTGGAGTCTCCGCTGTCGTCTCGGTCCGGCTCCTCTCCCCGCGCGGCATCCTGCTCCTCTCGGCCGAGCTCTCGCTCTTTGTCGGCGGCGGTGCGCGAGGCTTCGGTGCGCCTCTGCACGAGGCCCGAACTTCTCTGAGTTATGGAAGTCATCTGTGGGAGAGGAGTCTAGTGAAGGACGGCGGAAAGCTCCCAGCTCTGCCCGCTGAGCCCTGAAGGTTCACCCAGCAGCCTGTCGGTCAGAGGGAGGCCGCATGGAGGGTCCGAACAGCAGCGCCTAAAGAGCCGTTCCACTTCCCAGAGTTCTGTCTAATATGGCGCCTTGTGGTCACTGGTGGAACCGAACTTCACCGACTGGAAGAGACCGACCTGCAACCACAGTCTGATGCTTGGATTCAATTAGGAAATAAAGGTTGACTCGTTTTCCCCCTCAGGATATTGTCCTTGGAACAGTTCTAAACACATTTTCATTCATATTTTATCATGTTTTATTAAATGTTGAATTTGCACCTTTACACTTTTGATCCTTTCTGTTTTCCGTCCTGGATCCAAAGTCTATAAATGTGTGATTTATGCTTCCAAACATTTCCATCCTGATAAAAAAGACCAGATTTTAAAGGAAAACTTCACTAAGATTCAGAATTCAAACTTCTGAAATTACTTTAACTATGAAACTATTAAATACTGTTCAATAAATGATAAGTGTTTTTAATTTCATTAGAATGTGTTTTACTGGAGGCATCCATGTTTGTCAAAGAACACTACTGCCACCTACCGGTTCGTGACGTCACGGTGCAGTATCAGCTGTTGATCAAGTCCAGAGGTGTCAAGTAACGAAGTACAAATACTTCATTACTTTACTTAAGTACACTTTTTAGGTATCTATACTTTACTCCTTTAATTATTTTTCTCCCTCATTCTGACTTCTACACAAGTATCTGTACTTTCTATTCCTTCGATTTTAAGACAAAGGTTACTCGTTACTCTTGACTTCGGTTTAATGTTTATAAATCTTTATTTCCCGTCACGTGTGCCATCCAATGCAGATCATTGGCTCCATCCACATCTAGTGAAAACTAGTGTCATTGGATGAGTCATAGAACGCAAACACTCATTGGTTAGCTAAAGGAAATCATCAGAAGCAAGCAGGTGTTCTTCAAACTGTGAGGTCATCAACAAGGGGTCCACGAAGGTACTGCATGGGGGTCCCCCCCTTTCAATGTCTTTAAATCCACATTAACATGAATTCAACAGACTGTAGTAAACAGATAAATGGAGGCAGATGTCTTTCAGTCATCAATGCACACATTCAGCGACACACCGGAGCTCTTTCAAGCTGGGCACCGTTTCATTCACAACACCTGTCCCATCAATGAGGAATCAGAAATACTTTAATAATCCCAGGGAGAAATTACTTTAGTTACATTACTCCATCTGTAATAGAGTGACTATAGGAACAGTTTGATATTACACACTTTTATACGATATATATAATTAGGGTGTCTCAAAGAATTTTTCAAAATAGTCGAAAAATTTAACTTTCAATTCATCTAGTGGCATCTGGCTGTTTTTTTAAAGGTTACTTTATACTTTAAGCAGTTTTTGTAGAACATATTATTACTTAAATAAAGAGGTGAAGTTGATACTTCAACTTTTACCAGAGTGTTTCTGAACTGCAGTATTTATACTTCTACTTAAGTAACAAATGTGAGTACTTTTGACACCACTGATCAAGTCCCAGTGCTGTATCTGGTGTTTGTCACAACGCGCTATTATCCAAGTCATCCTGAAAACATTCTTCTTCCAAATGTTGGCTACATATTACGGGTTTTTTCTCTGGCCAGAAGTTCGATGGCAAATCCTCCCTCTTCGAGTTGACGATCCAACGACCAACCCGTCCGTGGAGGATCAGGAATCAGAAAGGTGAAATAACTCTTTATTTACCCGATGTATTCCAACATCCAGCTGCCATGCACGTGGGCATTGTCAGTTTCACTATAGCTCTGGTGAATTTCAATGGTGAAGTCCTCTGGAAATCTTCAATAATTGTTGTTGATTGCAGATGTGTCTAGTAGTTCCCATTGATTTAGCTTGTAAAGCGGGGAGAATGGCGCTAGGCTTACCGCACCGTGACGTCACTGCTGGAAGATGGCAGGAGGGAGGGGTTACTATATTTGGGCAAAAATGGCCGCCCCCAGACTCAGTGATCGTGATGAAAATTATTGTTTGTTTGTTTTTTTACTGATTAACGCTAAATTCATCACCGCAAACGTATAAGTTTTAGGTATAAATAATGATCCATTGATTATTCCTTGCTGACCGGACTTTTCCTTTAAACTCAATCATTCTTGTTTACAAACTAAAAGCAAACTGTAAGATAATAGTGAAGCTCAGTTTAACCGGTATATAGTATTTAATTACAAAGTGTTTTCCTAAACAAAGGTTCTCATTTGCAGGATTTCATGAGAGGCAAATATAATATAAATGAATAAAAGGAAAATATCAGTTGGGTGATTGTAACCTTAAAGCGCTTTCAAGAGGTTAAAACTAGCCTGTAAAGTCAGCTGAACTTTTTTTGTTTCACTTTTTTTATGGATTAGGTAGTAAAAATGTTGAACGCTTGCTGTCTTATGTTTGCTTTCCTTTTCTTTTTTCCTTTTTTTCTCTTTTTTTTCTTGCATTATTTAAAAATCTATTTTTTGATTATATTAATGTTTGTGTTTTTTGGTTTATTTAAAAAATTGCACATTTAATGCACATTTGCAACTAATTTAATATGTTTTGTGACAGTTTGTATTCAGACATTTTAATAAAAGAGTGAAAAATTCTATGTATCATTTATTTACTTTGTATTACTACATAACCTCACTGTATTTGTTTATAATATTCACTATGACATTATAGTGTGACATTTGTGTCAATAATGTTCTAGGATCGTTGATGGTGGGAGGGGGGGGCCTTAAATCAAATTCTGCTTAGGGCCCCCAGGAGGCTTGGGCCGGCACTGGTTAAAGCTTCTTTACTGAATCCTTATTTGAGAAAAAAGATATTTAAAATGTGGTGGTTAGCCCAAAACGGATCTATTAGAGGAAGTTCAGGAACTTATTAACACTTTTAAACTTTTAAAAAAATATGCAAGCTTCTAAATGTGCTTCATATTCATTCAATCCTCTTTATTTAAAGCATGAAACTCTCCTGTGGTTGAGTTGTAGATTCGCTATAAGGTTTAGTTTCCATCCATGTCTGCTCTGAACACACCAGTGCTCCTGCAGACACCCGGGAACCCAGTCCATCACATGGTATCCTGTTTGTGTTTGTGTTTTTAGATTTTTATGTATTATTCTGTGTGAATGGAACTGTAAAAAAAAAAAAAAAACATGAAATAAAAGATGATGGAGTCTGGAGCGGCTGTGTGACGTGTTAAAGGAGGTTTCATCACTTCCCTACAGACCAAGCTTATGACTTTTCTTCCTACTTTAACACACTGCAAGAGTGCAGAGCATTGAACAAATGGTTTGATTTTATGTAACCATTTTAAATCTTGTGTGAACACTCATTTTTTTTTACTTTAAAGAACAGTTTTTAGATTAGAATTTACAAATAAAAAAAGTATAAAAACAATGAACTGGACTTTGTTTCCAAGTTGAAGACGTTTCGCTTCCCATCCAGGAAGCTTTTTTCAATTCAAAATGTCAGAAATAGCGTTGAGTTTGAGGCTTTATACAACTCAACGCTGTTTCTGACATTTTGAATTGAAAAACTTCCTGGATGGAAAGCGAAACGTCTTCAAACTTGGAAACAAAAGTCCAGCGGATTGTTTTTTAACTTTTCTGGAATGACTATGATCTGGATGACTGAGAATCTTCACCAACATATTAGATTAGAATGAAAAGCCAGAAGAAACCAGGTGATTGTTTAACCAAGCAGAGCCTCTTCAAAGGCAAAACCAGCTGAAGAGAGAAGCTTTTCTCCTCTGCAGCTGCATTTTCTTTAAACAAAAAAAAAAAAAAAAGTGTTTACTAAACACAAAGGCTTAAGGAATAGAACATGTAAAACGGACAGGAAGATTTTTACAATATATAGCCCAAAAGGAACAGAATATCATAAATTAAATACATTTCTACAATTTTCATATGTGTTTATAGCTTTTGTACTTTTAGAAAAATGGATAATAATGGTTTCATTTCATTAATCAGAACTATAAAATAAAAAAAAATGGAAAAGATGATAAATATATAGGCTACTTTTTATGAATGTGGAATTTATCAAACTGCCAGCAGATGGCGCCCCAGCAATTTTAGTTCATTAAAGGAAGGTTAGAATCCCAATAAAAGACTGTTTTCCTGTTTTGGGTATTTATTTCTTCATTCAAAGAAAACTCTGCCATCAGTCTTATGAACCTGTTAAATAACTCATGAAGGCGCAGCTGATGCTTTAAAAGGCCATGATAAAATAGAGAAAATGCTTTGCAGCTTTGGATGTTTGAGTCATGTTGTATTTAAATGTGTATTTTTCTTTTTTATTTCCTGCTAAATGTCTTTTCTTCTGTTTAATAACAGTTCTTTGATCATTTTGTGCCATTTTCTGGATGTAGAATAACTCAAAGGAGGCTTTTTTTGTGGTTCCCCTGGGATGTTCTCATTGCGTTTCCTCCAAATTAGGCCAGTTTGTATATGATGGAGCCGGTATTACATTAAAATATGTGACCCATCATTTATTGAGACCCAAACACCACGTGACAGATACCTTAACTTCACAGGAATTATACCTAGACCCCTGGCTGTCAACTCTCACCCATTGGGAGTGAGACGCACCCATCTCAGGGTCTTCCCATGCTCTCACTCAAGGTTCGCAATTTCTCATATTTATGTAATAAAAATACCATGGTGATCAAAATCCAGTCTGTGTTTTTAAAACGACCTTAGTGCTAACACATAATGACATGCCAGGTTTATATCCAGTCCATATTCCCACTGTGCCAGATGTAGAAAAAAGACAGTTGTTATGAGGTATGTCATTTTAATTTTTATCTTATCTCATTTTGACTAGAATAATTCTCTTTGTAAATTAATGAAGCTGTTAAGCAATCTTGTGCTTAAGTAAATATGAATAAAAAATACAGCAGCTAGCCTAAACTATTGATGTGGAGACTGAGTGTAGGATAACATCCAATGGTTTCTTTACCTGGTGCGTTTTTTAGTCCATTTTTTGCTCACAAGTTAAATAATTATTGCTCAGTCTAGTTTAATAATCTCTCGTTGACATTTAGGAGTAATTAAGCCAACACAAATATTTTAATTCTTAAAACTTTCAGATTTGCCTCTCAAACCCATAGAAGCTCCACAAAAAGAAGAAGAACTATTGCATTTTTTTTTTTAAAGATCAGCCACCAAAGAAAAGACCAACCGCTTTCAGAGAGGATGTGCAGAACATAGATTCCTAGAGGAGAAACCACAGGGATGTTTTTCTTTAATTATTACTTATCTTATTCATTTATCTTTATTTTGGTCCATTAAATATGTTTAAAAACTTAATTTCCATCACACCTTCCCAATGAAACATGCAGAGACGTGCTGCCTCCTGTCATGGCGAGAAGCTCTGAATTGTTTAGCTGTTTTGTCAAGTTTAAGAAAAACTAAAAACACAATGAACGAAACTCTTTAATCCTTAGCCTATCACCATATATTCATACACAGTGTTGTTTGCATACTTTTCGATTTCTCTGGTTCCTGTATATCAGTGCCAGTAATCCAGTAATAACTTATTAGTTCCCCTATTGTTTAATTTACTTGAACTGCAGACAATAATTAATGAACAAAGTTGTGAAATTCTTAGTTTAAAGTATATTTAAGTTGCAAGTATTTTAGTGGGGCCCATTCTGCTTTACTTCAATTCTCTAAAAATCCGCAGAATGTAGAAAATAATATATATTGTGAGGGAAAATGTTCCACATAACTACAGATCACTTGTTGTTATCCAGTAACATTTACTGTGCTATAAAAATTCCCCATTTTGCCAATAAGTTTCAATTAAATCCTCTAAAAACCTCCAACCTACAGCTGCACCTGTCCTCATCTAACCCTGACAGGGTTTCCTGTCCAAAATATTTTTAAATTTCACCCCAAGATTTGGTGAAAAGTTGGCAGGCCTGTAAATCTAATGTCAGAAAATGAATAACTAAACCTAAAGTAACAGGACTGTGAAATACACTTAGCGCCTCCTTGGGTCACAATAATAACCTATAAACAGAATTGGTTTTGATTTGACAAAATGCTAAGGTAGCTAAGGTAGCAGTCCTGCAGGAAATAGCTGCAATAATCTGAAATTGAAGAAAAACAAAGTAAACATATTTGCAACGCAATGCAAATTCTGATGGTTAGTAAAAGTTTTAACATGATTTTCTGTTGCTTTTTTTTATTTGGAGCAGTAAACATAAATCTGGAGTAGTCAATATAAATGATGTACGCAGTCAGACTTTTTGTGTCAATCATTGTCACCCTTAAAGATTCTTTTTACTATACCTTTTTAAACCCAAATCTGTCTATAAAACAAATAAGTTTTGATTTTTCTAAATGTGTAGCCTACCTGTCAGAGAACTTCTTACATGTCCAATCGGATTAAACGAATCCGTTTGGGAACCTAAGTTTGTATTTTAACAATGCAATCCTTCACAAAAGCATCATCTTTGACACAAAACAAGTTAATGAGATTCATTAGTAGAGCTAATGACAGAACAATCACACAACGGTGAGGATATATTTAGGGAGCCCAATTAATGTAAAATCTATGACTATGGGCTGTGGTAGGAAGCTGAAGTGAACCATAGGAAGAACATCCAGTATCAATACAACAAGTATGCAGTGAAGTATTTAATTCTACTTTATATAAAAGCCCAACCAGAGACATAATTTGTCCCTGGTTGGGCTTTTATATAGAATTTTACAGTGAAAAATACAAATATAAAAAGAAATAAAACTAGCTATAACTCTTCAAAACTTGTTTAAAATACAGAATTAGTGTTCTTTAGACTGTAGATTTTAGGTAAATAAAATAGAATAAAACATTCAAATAGCAGAGACATAAGTGGCAGCATTGTTTGTTAGAGGAAGACATTCAGAAAACTAATGCTGACATGACTGATGTGTTATGAGTCATTTTTTTAAGATAGAAAATAGTGAATGTTGTGAGTTCCCTGATGTTCTGAGGTTCCACTCCTGAGATGCTGTGACTGCAAAGGCTCTTTGACTAAAAGCACTTTGACCCAGAGGAACAACACATCCTCCTCTGGCCAACCCTCCTGTTCCTGTCAGTGTGTTCCTGATCTTTACAAACTGAATGAGTGGAGGAGATGAAAGACCATGGATCATTTTGTTAAACAAAGGTTTGAGTACTTGATGACATTTTCACAGCTTAAAAGCTTATGTTTTAGTAAAATCGCTGGTAAAGTATAGAAAACCCTTGTGCAATCATGTTCACACATCTGAAAATAGTTTAGCTTGTTACAGAAGCTACAAAACTGACCTTCCTTTGAGCAGATTGAGTTTCTGGAGCATCACATTTGTGGGGTCAATTAAACGCTCAAAATGGCCAGAAAAAGAGAACTTTCATCTGAAACTCGACAGTCTATTCTTGTTCTTAGAAATGAAGGCTATTCCATGCGAGAAATTGCTAAGAATTTGAAGATTTCCTACAACGGTGTGTACTACTCCCTTCAGAGGACAGCACAAACAGGCTCTAACAGAGTAGAAAAAGAAGTGGGAGGCCGCGTTGCACAACTGAGCAAGAAGATAAGTACATTAGAGTCTCTAGTTTGAGAAACAGACGCCTCACAGGTCCCCAACTGGCATCTTCATTAAATAGTACCCGCAGTAGCCTGTTTGAGCTGTCCTCTGAATGGAGTAGTACACACTGTTGTAGGAAATCTTTAATTTCTTAGCAATTTCTTGCATGGAATAGCCTTAATTTCTAAGAACAAGAATAGACTGTCGAGTTTCAGATGAAAGTTCTCTTTTTGTGGCCATTTTGAGCGTTTAATTGACCCCACAAATGTGATGCTCCAGAAACTCAATCTGCTCAAAGGAAGGTCGGTTTTGTAGCTTCTGTAATGAGCTACACTATTTTCAGATGTGTGAACATGATTGCACAAGGGTTTTCTAATCATCAATTAGCCTTCTGAGCCAATGAGCAAACACATTGTACCATTAGAACACTGGAGTGATAGTTGCTGGAAATGGGCCTCTATACACCTAAGTAGATATTGCACCAAAAACCAGACATTTGCAGCTAGAATAGTCATTTACCACATTAGCAATGCATAGAGTGTATTTCTTTAAAGTTAAGACTAGCTTAAAGTTATCTTCATTGAAATGTACAGTGCTTTTCCTGCAAAAATAAGGACATTTCAATGTGACCCCAAACTTTTGAACGGTAGTGTATATATTTATATTTTATATGTAACAAAGTATGAAGTATTTTGTTCCTAGTTTCCTCTGCTGTAGGTGAGTCTCTGTTCCCTCTCAGCAGTCTGCCTGCCAGGCAGCGTTCAGGGACTCTGACCGCAGAGTAAATCTGGACCTCATGGCTCCGCCCCCTCTTCCTCCGCCCCGCCTTCATGGACACAGCAGCAGCAGCAGAGTGATACATCTCCCACAGATCTTCATCGCTACCAGGAGCGGAGGGAAAAGTGAATTTCCAGCCGCTTTTCCACAGCTGTTTTCCAAGTTTTTCCAGCTTTTAGTCTCCGTGAAAAGAGTCCAGTGAGTCCCCCGGAGCTACTTTTTCCATGCTGAACTCAAACGCAGCTCTGCGCTGCTTTTTATCCAGGGTCTCGTCCAACTGTTGATGTCTCTGCTGTGTGGATGCGGCTTTTCTGGAGCCAGGATCACCTCTGAGTGCATCGCAGGAGCAACAGGAAGCTGTTTGCTTTGTGTTGGGAATGAGGAGCAGCTTTTTGTACACGATGTGACCAAAGGTAGGGTTTGCTTCCAGCCTTCCCCCTGAGGGGGCGGCTGCTCATACTGGGGGGGCTGCTGGGCTTGATCCTGTTGTTCCAGTGCAGCTCATCCTACAGGAAGCCAGTTCTGTTCTATCAAGGCTGTGATTCTCCTACATAGTAGTGAACAAACATTTCACTTTGTCACTATAATCTCCCTGAAAAGCAGAGTAACTTTATATCCCAGTTGTGAACCCATTGCAGGCTGCTTATTGGAACTTTTCACTATTTCTGACTGGCAGCCAGGGGCGGATTTAGGAAATGTGGGGCCCTAGGCAAAGACAGGCAGGGGGCCCTTTGAATTGAGAAGAAAACACATAAAAGAGACCCATTCTACAGATAGAGAAATGTTTTTTGTGTCTTGTTGTCCCTTTTCTTCTTGTTTTCCTTTCTATGTTTTGTACTCAGCTGACTTTTCATGCTGTCTCTAAAGGAATGAAAGATTTTTTCCAAGCACTAAGCTCACTTAGCTGATTGCTCCTTCCTGTGTTTCCAAAAAGGCCAAAGTAAATAACCCAGTCCTTCTTTTCGCTGTAGACCAGCCATGATCTGCTTATCTGTTCTCCATTTTTCATTTGGATGAAATAATAGCTGCATGAATCATGACAGCAGACAAGATAGAGGAGAGCAGGAGGCGTGGTTACCAATCTACTGGCTCTGGAGAGCAGAGTTCGCTGCTTTTAGATGTTGTCTCCAAAGTCTCCAGTAGGAGAAAAAAGTCTCTAGATTTGGCGCTAGGAGCTTTTTAGAAATCAAAGTGCTAGAGGGGTCTGAAAAGTGGCTAAATATAGCGACTAAAGCGCTAAGTTGGCAACACTGCTCTTTGCATGGTTTGTTTTCAAATGGTTTGCTGCTGTCTGTTTGGACCTTTCTGAACATGTGCAGCAAATGGACTGATCCAATATGGTGGACACTGAAGGGGGGGGGGCTGAGACACACTTAATATTCTAAGCGTTCTGCCGGCATTTTAGCAAAAGGATTTTTATCAAAATGTGCAAAAATAAGGAATAGTTGTATTAACCATACATGTAAACAGAGTTTTATGTGGCCCCCAGGAACTTGGGGCCCTAGGCAACTGCCTAGTATTGTCTAATGGTAAATCCCTCCTTGCTGTCTTCCTCAGGTCAGATTTCTACTCAACTTTGTTATGTTTCATTTTTAGAAACTAAACAATCAGACTTTTTTCTTTTGATTTATTTTTTTCCCGCTGATACAGCCTTTCCCTTTAAGAGCCACTTATGAAGTTTGATATCCTCTAAAAGCATCCAAGTTTCCTTTCATCTTTTTCCAGGTTTAGGGAATTTTGTCAAATATGAGTATATATATATATATATATATATATATATATTGAAAGGACACTCTAATTGGCTGTCTGGGTCAGAGTGGTCCTGTCTGGGTTTGAGGTCTGGTACCTTGGCTTAGCGGTAGTTTGTTGTGCTTCCATCATTAAAGGGTTAAAATCCCATCAGTCAGCATGAACTGAGCTCCAGGTTTGATCTAAAGATTCTGAGTTATTCAAAGGATCCAAGTATTGCTCATTATTCCCTAAAAGTAAAAAAAAAACAATCCACTGGACTTTGTTTCCAAGGTTTGAAGACGTTTCGCTTCTCGTCCAGGAAGCTTTTTCAATTCAAATGTCGGCGGGAAGCAAAACCTCTTCAAACCTTGGCAGCCAAGTTCAGTGGATTGTTTTTTTTTTTTTACTTTTACGGAATGACTATGACCTGGATGACTGAGAAACTTAATCAGCATATTGCTCATTATGAACTGAGTCTTAAAGGGCTCATAGAATGATTATATAGGGTGCCTGGTTCTGGTCATTAAGGTCTCTGAATAGGGTGTGTAACATCGGTTGGGCTGAAAATGGCAGATTTGCTGTTCTATGAGCCCTAATGCAGCCTGGTTAAAAGCCCAAGAATGACACGACAGGTTTTCTTCCTTTTATGGTATGATCATGAATATTTAGATGAGCTGTGCTCTGATTGGTTGGTTTACAACGAGGGAAGCTGCTGAACAAAGAGGCATCACAGCAACCAGCACTCACTCACTGAAACGTCATGGTAGTGTGACCAGACGTCCTTTTTCTCCCGGACATGTCGTACTTTTCAGACCTAACTATTTCAAAATAGTCCAGGATTTTGGTCGAATACAGTGCTGCATGTAGTCGAAACACACCGGGCACTCAGCGGACGAGGGCAGGGAGCCAGCTGGGGACAAAACCCGACCCGGTGACGGTAGCCTGGACACCGGCGGCCCCGTGCTTCCCCCCACCTGCCTTACCGGCCTCCAGCCCCCCTCCTCCAGCTGAGGACGGGCGGCTCATGGCTCTCTGCTGAGGTCCGGTCCAGTCAGCGGCCCAGCAGTCGATACTTCATTCCCTCCCGCCCTTGGGCCAGTAAACCCGTGGGCTGGTCTGGATGTCAATTTACAGGCTAGAACCAAATAAGGCAACATCCCCGAATTGACGTCAACTTCGTTTGTTATCGCCCGTTTTATGGTGGAAGTGTAGAATAGTGAGATCTAGTGAGTTTTCCCATCACTCCACATAAAGGATGAAGTAAATGCTCATAACCTAACAAATCTTTTTGTTCCAAAAGTGAGCTATTCCTGTAGAATTATATAGACTTACACAATCTTTATGTTATCACTTTCTGGGCTTTATTTAATTTATTATTATTCATAGTGAGGGCATAAAGCTGGTCTACTCGTAGAAGTATCTGTTGTGAAACAAGCTCAACGAAGAATAGACTGTCTGAGAAAACTAAAGTCCAATTATCGGTTTGTTTTATGAAGCTTTCAATGAGAATCTGCTGTGTTTTTCGTGTTTTATCTGTTGGTATAATTGCCCAACATTGAAAGATAAAAACAGTCTAAATCGGTTGAGGGAACCGGGGGACTTGCCTTCCTCTTTTTAATAAACAACAAAAAAAAGGCTAAAGTGATCGTCTCTTCGTCAGAAAGAGTTCTCAAAAATTTTAAATAACAGTGTTTTAGTTTAGCAATCTTTTTCTCTTTCTATTCATTTTGGTCCTCAAGCTCCCTCTCACTATATTTCTTTTTTAATCATCATATTTTTATATAATTACATGTTTATTTTTGTTTCTTTGTCTTGTGTGCTGCTCAAAAGAATTGCGTTAATAAAGTCGTCCAAGTCTATAAACATTATGGCATAAATTCACCGGCAGGAATACGAGGCAGCTTTGCTCTCTGCAGCCCTGAGGTCAGAGGTTTGCTGCGTATCCGGTGTCACACATGGATCTAATTCCCTGCAGTCTGATGAGGGGACCGCTGTCCCTCTTTCTTCTCTCTCTGGGATGAGAGGAAGCTTTGCTTCTTCTGTTGCTGCTGTATTTTCTGCATCTGCTTGACTCCTGGTTGTTCTGTCATCCTGACTATCATCAGGCTCTGTAGCTGATTCATTCTGATATTAATTATTCATTTGCTTTTCTGATCTGTGGCCTGATTATTAAAGGCCTGCGAGCTGAAAATGCTCCTACCAGGATGTTCTGGCAAAGAATACAGGAGTTGTACTATATGACAGACTTTGCTTTGGTTTGACTGTCCAGTTTCCAGTTTAGAGGTGTTTTGTGTTTGCATTGTATTTTTAGCCGACTCTAGTTATTGTTTCCCTGATCCCCGTGTTTAGCTCGTTCAGTCATTCTGCCCAGTCAGCCTCCCTGCAGTTGCTGCAGCCTCTTGGTCTCCTGTCCGCTGTTGTTGTTCTGCTATTTGTCATATTAAGCCCTAATTGCTGTATTTACCTTCGTGCTGTTTAGTGCCTGATGTGAGGATCAAATGATTTTTATTATTGTTTTCTTTCTCTCCATTTTTGTCATATTAGAAAAAAATTATATTTGTATTAATATAAAACTAAAGACAATAAACTGTTGATCTCCAAAAACCTCATCAGTTAGTTCCATTAACTCTAAAATGACAAATCAGGGATCTGTAACCAAAGAGAAGATCAGGAAGCAAAGCTTCTGCTGCAGCAAAACAGACTCCAAACCTAGACGCATCTGGACATGAGCAGCAAGCTGCTGCATTCGCTGCAGAGTGACAAACAGAAAGAACCACAGCATGAACTGTAATAAACTAAAAATAAAGACATAAAAACTGTGCATTCATTAAGAAACCAGCAACAACCTCCATATTCACTGCGTTAAGGAACCAGAGAAATGCTCTCCATTAATTAAAGAAGCGGTTCGGTCAGCAAGGAATCAATGGATCATTATTTATACCTAAAACTAATACATTTGAGGTGATTTAATGAATTTAGTGCTAATTGGTAAAAAATAGAAATAATAATTTTCATCGCTATCACTGAGTCTGGGAGCGGCCATTTTTGCCCAAATTTTTGCCCGCTTTTCAAGCAAAATCAATGGGAACTACTAGACACATCTGCAATCAACAACAATTATTGAAGATTTCCAGAGGACTTCACCATTGAAATTCACCAGAGCTATAGTGAAACTGACAATGCCCACGTGCATGGCAGCTGGATGCTGGAATACATCGGGGAAAAGTGGAAAAAAAAAAAGAGTTATTCCACCTTTCTGGTTCCTGATCCTCCACGGACGGGTTGGTCGTTGGATCGCCGACTTGAAGAGGGAGGATTTGCCATCGAACTTCTGGCCAGAGAAAAAACCCGTAATATGTAGCCAACATTTGGAAGAAGAATGTTTTATGCTCTGGGGATCCCTTTCCTGGCGCTCGCCTCGGTGCTCTGGGGGGGGGCGTGTCTTTGGCTCTTCACAACCACTCTTGAGCATTTTCTCTTTGGATAAACTTTACATGCACAAGTGCACACTCACAATCAACTACAGTTACTTGGTTCCAGGTACTTAGAGATTCACTTCCATACAGAAAGCCCATATTCTTATCTTCAGAGACAACAGTATGCTTGTCAGATTAAATAATACTACTTATACTTCAGCGATAGTATCAATATTTTACTTTATTGTATTTCTTATACTATATCC